CACCCCACGTCCCCAGCTATTCACCCAGTCTTACCCATGAAATTGGAGGCCTATTAAGTCGGCAAACTCGAGCCACTCTCACCCATGCATATCTAAGGATAATTCCAAATAAAAAGGAGTTCATGGTTAGCTCAGGATTAAGATTGAGTTACCTAGGTCATCGAATGAAAAGAAAATCAGTCTCAACAGTAAACGACATTATAAAGTATGGTGGTTTTCTTCATGGTCCGATCTTATGCAATAATCATTACATAGGACGCCCCCACTTACATGTCTCCACATGTACAATTCAGTGATCACATTGTTTATATCATATACAAAAGTGGGCCGTATCCATAGTGTCCCTAGAATAAGGTAATCAGCCTTATCCTTATACTATAGATCACTTGAACTTGATCCACTCTTATGTCTCTACATATAGTTCAAGTAATCATACTATAGCCAGAGTGTTCTTAGTTTATTGGATTTAGATTAATGCTCGTAAATTTCACTTTATTCAATAACAATCTTTACTGAATAAACAACAATAATAACTTTATTGAAAATAGAATATGTTTTTGTTTACAAACTATGAGTTTTAGAACATAAAACCCAACAAAGACTATCCAGAACCGTTAGAGCACAAAAAGATATTCACATTCATTACACTATATGAGCACCATAAAGATATTCACATTCATTACACTATATGTTATTATCTAATGAAGGAGAACTAGAGTCTTTTGATGAGACTTCGAGGAGGTTTGACTCCTTTTCTTTTGGAGTCTTTGTTCGATATTTGAGGATTTACCAATCTATTGGCACAACTTAGTTTAAAGCATGGCTCTGGTACCATGTTAGACGAACACGACTCTCCACAATGGTATGGTATTGTCCACTTTGAGCATAAGCTCTCATGGCTTTGCTTTGGGTTTCCCCAAAAGGTTTCATACCAATGGAGAGAGTATAAACCCATGATCATTTCCTAAATTAGCTGATGTGGTTCTTTTATCATCCAACAAGGGATCAGGTTGGGAAAGTTCACGAGAATGATTGGATGAATGAAATGACTTATCTCTATGTTTTCTTCTTCTTAAGGAGGTAGTTATTCTCCGTATTGAGGACCATCCTTATTCCCATGCACCCCTGTTTTTAGGCTTCTTCTTCTCCTGGTATTTTTTTTCTTTCTTTTTCATAATGAGAACTATAAAGCAAAACAAATAAATTCATCACTATTTAATTTTAAAAATAAAAAAATTAAAAATTTATTACACATTTAAAGATGAAAATAGTGTAACGGCCCAGATTCACCGTTAGCCGTGGTTGTCTTCTTTGAGCTTTCCCTTTTGGGCTTTCCCCCAAGGCTTTAAAATGCGTTTGTTAGGGGAACGTTTCTACACGCTTATAAATGATGGTTTGTTCTCCTCCTCAACCAATATGAGACATCACAAATATATTCATGTAAATTAATATTATTGTTCAATTCATTTCACTCAAAAGCTTGCAACTTTGTTTTAAGGTTCATTTTGAGATGAAACAAATAAGAGATTGTTTCTGGAAGATGAAACAAAATAAATAACCAACGAGATCTTTGTAAGGGAGCTTACCGAGTCGAACATCGAAAATTTGCTCGCCCACCTACCACTTTCAATATCTTCCTCTATACGACTGGAAATTGTCTCGTGATCATTTTTGGTTTGTCCAAGTAAATAAGGTTTGAATTATTCATTTTTCTTCATTTGTAAGATGTAAATTCATGACCATCTAAAACTTCAAGTAAATAAATAATTTGTGGGCTTTGTTAATTTAATAAGGTGAACAATAAAGATAAATGTTACAAAGATAAATTTAAAGCCATAGTAAATATAGTAACAAAATTAATATAATTGTTCAAATACAAGGTTAATAAGAAAAGAAACTAACCAAAAATAAGGATTTCTAGAGTTCAAAATCGATGTATGGTACACAAAAAAAAGTTTTGCCTCCTCAACTTAGGTCAAATCGAGGACATTCATAAATTATGAAACCAAATTTCAAAATTTGAAATGGCTTCTTTGGAAGCCAAATTTCAAAATTTTCAAACTTCTAATGGGTGTCTGGCATAAGGAGCTAGCTCGCCCGAGAAGAAAGGGGCCCAACGGTGTGGGAACTGTTTGGTGAGCCCATACTCGCACGTATGGGCTGTGTGTAGAGTATATGGTACACATCCAAGCTGCCCATTAGGATAGTGTCGTAGGAAAAGAGACTAATAGGATAGGTCCCGTCATTGCATTTGCATGTTCTTGCATTTATCCCTCGATAGTGGGTCACTCACTGAGTATTTCTTAAAATACTTAAACCATGCGCTACCTCTATTTTAGGTTAAGGCAAGACATTCCTATACGGTTGACGACAGTATCACAACTCGAGACCATGACACATGCATAGAGTTATTGTATTATTTTCTTAGACCTAGGCTAGAATAAGATGTTTTTAATTTAAACATTTGTTTATTTTATTTAATCTTTTCTTATGTCGTTTTCAAAAGTGTTTTCAAACCAGGTTAAGTCCATGATTATATTTTATGAAAGTTTAAATGAAGTATTTCCACCTTTAAAGGTTTATGATATAAATTAAATAGAAAATTTTGGTCATTACAATGCTACCCACGCCTAGATAAGTTCTTTCTTATAGGAGAGAGAGCAACCCTCGTAATTCTTGCATAATTATACCATTCCTCCTGACATTTTTACAGCCAAGGGTATGCCACCAAATTTTTTAACACGTTCTTCTCGAATTACATCAGGAATTATTGGTAATTCACTTCCAAATGTACATTTTTCAAATAAATACTAACCATTGGTAATTATTGGTAATTCATTTTTCAAATAAATGAATTGAGGTACTTAGAATATGGAATTATTGGTAAGTACCTCAAATGATATCTATAATTTGTCTCCATAATTTCTGCTACTTTATCACTCCCAGTACTTCCAACATTTTGATTGATACTTAATGCAACAATTAATAAGATATTGGTGTTGTTTAGATATTGATACTTAATCACTCCTAGACATGATCAAATGTGCCCTCCAACCTAGTTTACTTTTAACCATTGAAAGGTGTTGTTTAGATCAATTTTTCTTTTTAGAAACAAAATCAGGAAAAATAGAGCCCATTTGAACCAATTTAGAAAAGTTGGGAAATTTTTTTTTTTGTCCAAGGCATCTGGTTGAGAGATTAGAATATGGATTTAAAATGTTCATTGCAAAATTTTATGTCGCTCTTAACTGAAGTTATTGATTCAACTCCTTCATGTCGATAATCTGAAAAACCTATTCATATTACAAGCCGACTAAAATTGAAGGTCGGATTATAAATAGATTGATTGTAAAAATACTAAATTTAATTTTTATTCGTGAAAACTTAAACTAGTTAGAATTTTGCTCATGTTTAGTAAAAAAATTCCAACCAAATGAAAATAAAAAGTAATTAGAATTTCCATACATATGACATCTAGAGTACATGCAAATTGAACATTTTGGTGGCATTAAGCAGGGTGCCATGTGGGAGCCCGTGAGGTACTATTATTCATAGGTTCGACTTTTGTTTGCCCTATTTAAATTCTAATTAAATTTTTTATGTGATTTAAGATCTTATAGAGAAAAATTAGTATTTTTAGACACCTTATTTACACGGGAACTTTAAACGAAAGAGCATGCGTCAATCATGTAAGTCACCGCATGGTTTTAGGAAGCAATACTTATAGGAATTGCTTGGTATAAATGCATGTTAAGGAATTTACCTTCGGTGGTAGCTTTCCAGGAATGAATTTAGGTAGTCTAATTATTATGAGTATGAATGTATTGTGTAAAGCATATTGAGAATTATCTGAGTGTTGCAATTATGCTTTAAGCTTCCGCGATATATATATATATATATATATATATGCATATGTTTAATTCATGTTGAAAGGAAGATGTGAATTTGTGAACTCCGCACTTCGGGTGCTTGATGGATGTTATCGCCCCATTAAGCATATATATTTAATTTGTAGGAAATATGTGTGATGATGCTAGTTGATGGTTGTATGCAAACTCAGTTATTTTTGAAGACCCATTAATAAGTTAAGCCTAGCGATTTGTGGTTAGAAGTGACACTGAGTCTAGATATAACGTTTCGGGCCTAACAGATCACCACGGCAAATGAAGTACCTTAGGAGTGTTCTTAGGCTGCTAGTTGTGTGAACGGTATCTATAGCTTCGTGGGTGGACCAGGAGTTCCTGATCAGTTCTCACTACTCCTTAGCCATTTCCCATGGAAAAAGTGTCCCCATGCCGTACAACCTATTAACTACATGGAAAAGGGTTGGGTCGTGCCCCCAATAAGGAGGACTATCATGGGCTATGAGAAGCACAAGTATTTCTTATTGGGTATATTTACACATTTACTCCTTTCCTCAGTTCAATTTCAATTACCATGTACATTGGTTGGAAAAAAAAAATAGTGCAAGATGGTTGAAAAATAAGAGGTTGAAATTGATTGCAATTCAATTTTTTTTAAAAAAGTTATCCATGTACTCAAAGCTAGACGTAACTAATTACAACATTACTAATTTTTTAAAACCTACATATTTAAATCTTCATAATATATTCTAAATTGCTGAATACTTTTAAAAAAAAATCAATAAACCAATCGATAAATTAATAAAAATTTGTTAACATCACTAGAGCGGCAAGATCTCCATTCATAGATTGCAAGTTTGAATCTTCGTTCTTCATGTTCGTAACATATTATCCCGTCACTTCTTAACAATTTAAAGATATAAACAAGTTGAGCTTGATTTAGTTTTATTTTTATTTTTCAGTTTAGTTTTGATTTGGTTTTCAAAGTAATCAACCAAGAAAGCATAGTAATTAATGTAGTAATAGAATTAATACAATTGTTAAGGTACAAAGAATACCTTTATAATTTTACTTAGGCTAATGAAAGCATTAGAAAAAGGAAGTATAAAGAAAGGAAACAAATATAAAATAGTTATTCTAGAATACACGAACGTTGGGTACATGCGAAACTTTTTCCCGTTCAACACTACCTTCACCAACTTCAAGCTGGGAACATTTATACACATCCAAACGATTCAATCTAGTTAGATTTGACATAGCTTCTTTCGAGGGCAAGTTTTTCAAATTTCTGCACTCCGATAACTCCAATGTCTCCAAAGATGTAATGTTTCCCAACCATTCTGGCAAAAATTCAATGCCATTAAAACTCTGAATATGCAACGATCTTAACGAGGTGAGGAGCTCAAGTTGTCGAGGAAGTTGTGTTAAACTATTAGTTCCTGTTTCATGCAACTCAAGAACTTCAAGTGAATTGAAGGGTATGAATCGACTCCAATCACGACCCTCCATTGGCCCTTCAACTATTAATCTTTTCAAGTTATGAATACCATCGAGCCCCTCTGGAAAATTATGAAAGTTTCCAATGTGTAATGAAGACAAGTAGGGCAGATTTTGCAAATTTGGAGGGGAAATATCATCACGAAATTCGCCTATCCACAAATTTTCAAGTGAGCAACAACAGTCTAACCAGTTTGGCAGCTTTACCAAACTTGTACAATCATAAATGGTTAGAGATCGAAGGTTTGGAGGACTTTGAAAACTTGAAAGTAACCTTACATTAACCGTCTCAGCTTCCAACCTTTGACTATGAGTTGCAAAAATGTTTGGAATATTCGTTAGTTTGAGACAAGAACACATGGTTAAGTTTTCGAGATGAGGAAAAGTTGTACAATTCGTCACAGTAGCAACATCTTTCCATTGCTCTAAACTGACCATTCTCGAAATTTCAAATGTTTTCAATTTAGGAAATAAAGTTTTACTGTCGCGATAATTCCCGTAAAACTCATCTCCAATACTTTTTACACCTCTTAGGTTATGAATGTAAAGAACTTCAAGTTTGGACAACTGTCCCAGCATTGGTAAAGTTTACCTCTTTTGCAAGAGTGTAGCTCAAGCTTAATTAAGTTTTCAACAAAAATACCACTGGGCATAAGTTCACTTGCAAAGTTAAGAATACGCAATCCTTGAAGGTTTATGTGTGGTTGAAGCCCTTCCAACACATTCAAATCATTATCACCACAGTCTTCTCTGTCAAGACTCCATTCAAAATTTAGCACAGAAATGCTTTCCTTCTCTACCAAATTTGCAGTCATGGCCTCCTTTTTACTTTTGACTTGCTCGAGTTGTAGAAGGCTTAATTGACCTTTAAGGTTTTTTAAACGTCCAATCTCCTCAATCTTATATCCTTCATCTGACCCAACTACAAAAATAGAAAGCGTTTGATGTTGAGTCATTCGACTTAAATGTTTAGGCATTAGCTTAATTTGATCTCCGTTACACAAATCAACTTCGAAATGCCTTAGGTTGATCAACTTTCTCAACTTTGTTGGAAGTTTTATACTCCTTCCAAGCTTCAAAGTCTGCAAATGGTAAAGCAAAGCAATAGATTTTGGGAGCTCACTTATTCCAGACTTTGAAATGTCAAGACACCTCAAATGCTTCAATTTATTGATTGTGTCAGGCAATTCAATTATGGACTCATAATCAATAATTAAAATGCGCAAGTAGATGAAGTCAGTATCTTATCTTGATTACCAAAGGGTACATTTTCACAACAATAAAATGTTCTTCTTTGACGAATCAAAAGAATTTCATCACCATGAGATTTTCCATCGGTTATAAGGTCCTCTCTCAAATGTTGATCATTTGAAATAGCACATGCAACCTCATATATATGACCATGCATCTTACAATATTCAACTTTCCCTCTCTCATCCTTGAAAACATCTTGAAACAAGGAACGAGACAACAAAATATCAAAATATCTCGCTCCAATATCCTCCATTGTTACATTGCTTCCATTGGGTAGTTGAATAAATCCTTGTGCTACCCACATTTGAACAAGTTCTTCTTTGAGGAACATGGAGTCTTGTGGAAAATTTGAACAGAAGGCAAAACATTGTTTCAACGAGGAAGATGGTAGGCGGTCCACACTTAATTTGATTGTGAATAAAATAAGATCTTCCTTTGCTAATTCAATTCTCACTGGATTTTCCAAAGTCAGATTGCAATTCCTCATCATTCTTGCATGATTTCACCATTCCTCCCAACACTTTCACAATCAATGGTATGCCACCAAATTTTTGAACAAGTTGTGCTCGAATGACATCAGAAATTACTGGTAATTTACTTTCAAATGCACATTTTTCAAATAAAAACCAACAATGATCATCTAGTAACTGCCTCAAATGATGTCGGTATTTTGTCTCCATAATTTCTGCAACTTTATCACTTCTAGTAGTCATAACGATAGCACTTCCCATATTTTTATTGATCTTTAGCAAACAAGCCCTCAACTCATTCCAGAGAATGAACGATAGCACTTCCCATATTTTTATTGATCTTTAGCAAACAAGCCCTCAACTCATTCCAGAGAATGGGTTCCTCATTCCAAACATCATCAAGCACAACAAAATACTTTTTGTTACTTAGCAGATTTTGGAGCTCTCGAAGAATGATTTCCTTTTAATCTGAACCACCAAATGTAGGCTTCATGTATCCCACGATTGCTCTTACAATTTTGTTGATTTTAAAAGGATCAAACACGCATACCCATATAAAAGTATCGAAATTCTTCCTTATCATTTCATGATGGAAAATCTCCTTCACCAGAGTTATTTTTCCTAACCCACCAGTACCAACAATGGGTAAAACAACTAGAGTTTCTTGATTCTTAAGGGCAAGTAGGTTATCCACTATATTTAATACTTCAGTTTCCCTTCCAATAACTCCAATTTCATCAGAAAATGAGTCCGTTTCTCGAGTTTGGTAAATATCAATTTCAGCTTCATTGGATATTGTAGCAACACATAGGGATGGACTTTTTGTAGAAATAAACTCATCCAACGTTTTAGAAACAGTTGTGATTTTATTTTCCATTTTGAGACGAAAAGCAAGGGAATTTTTGGAGAATGAAAAGAAATTACGTACCACCTTATCTTTCTCGATTTCCACTTTGCATCGAACGTGTTCATAAGCGAGCTCATCGAGTAAAATATGAGCTTCAAAGACGATATCTTCAAGCTTCTTCACCCATAGCTTCTGGGATTCAAGGTCTGCCTTCATTCTATCAACATCCCTTAGGATGGCTTGCACCATGAGTAAAGAGTCCTTCAGCTTTGAGAGTTCCTCCTTGAATCCCCATGTCAGGCCGATCTGCTCGGCAACACTTTTTGTATGGCAAAGGTCCACAGGAACTCCGCCATGTTTGTATCGTCTCAAAGTTTGCAATTCTGGGGGATTTGTGTGTGTTAGAATGAAGCATACAGAAATCCCATCTAACCTCCTTTTATAGGACATGTTTAACAAAGTGGCCTCCAAAGAAACAGTAACCACAATAATGGATGTTTGAAAAGCAAGGAAACCACGTTTCTAAGACTTTATTTTTATGTCTGCATTCAAAGATTTATAGTAGGGGCCATATTTTTAGGCTTTTTAAATCAATTTTGCAGTTTCAAACCAAAATTAGGAAAAACAGAGTCCATTGAAACAATTTAGAAAAAAATGGGACAATTTCTTTTCCATCCAATTTGTTTTTGTTTATATTTTAAAAAACAAATCATTATAAAAATATATAATTATTCCTTGTTTTAATTTTTATTTGGGTGTTCAACTTTAGATGTCTTTGGACACCGAAGCCAAAGAAAACAACAGAGAGAACGATAGCTTCCAATTTGATTTTGCTGAAAAACACTGTGGTTATGTTTCTCGTCTAAAACAAATTGTGACCGCAAATATTGAGATGGCACAAATGGTCAGCTAAAAAGTACGCTCCTGTTCGTATTAGTAAAACATGAATAACCTAACAAAACAAAAAGCCACATAAAAAAGGTAAAAAAATCTTTAAACTTTTTTTTGTTTCTAATAAATTTATTTTAATTTTGTAATCAACCTTCGTGTTGTTTTTATTTTGATTTCAATTTTTTCGAATTTTTTTATTTTATTTTTATTTTTTTAATTTTGATCTGGACTTTGATGGCTCAAAATTTGGGTCGTGACACTCGCTTTGTTAGTTGAATTCTAAGCGGCTTATTAGTTGAATCACGAACATCTTTCTAACTGGTTTTGTTAAATTTTATGAGGCATGCTAATTGATTCTCGAACAAGTTTTCATCCTTGTTCGTACGAAATATTAATTTCATCACTCCGATTCACTTTCTTTTAAAGTAAATAGAAAGTTCTATTATTTTTTAATTAGGGTAAAATAGAAATTTAGAACAAACTTACCAAACAAAAAATTATAAAAGTCAAATCTCATTTCCATCTTTGGAAAAATCATTAAAATAATTGATTTTAATAGTAAGAATAAGTTTCACAATCAAATCAAACGATATATTTTGATTTTTTTTTT